GTCAAGATAATGTTCCGAAGTGAAAAACTTGGAAAGAGGTAGGGAGAGATATTGGTCGACAATTCTATTATAGTTTTCAAACTTTTATTCTTTCTTTCTCGAAAAAAAATTTTACAATCTGTAAAAATTTTCAAAGAACATCGAAAATTTTTCAAAAAGGATACCTTAAAAACTTTTATACATGATCAAGCAAGAAAAGAAAATTTTAGAAGACAAAGAGTGACTTCGATTCTTCTTCCGACTCTTCCGTTTGAAATATTCCTGCAAATATCATAGAATAGGATGCAAGAAAATAAGAGTGCAACGTAAAAGTAGAATTATGAATACGTCAAATAGATGTATGAAGTTATTCAGTATACGAGAAAAGCTATTATTGAACGAACAAATTAGACTGAAGAGCATATTGATTATTTAATTTTACAACAGTAGAGATTATCAGTCAAATCGTTTCAATTTTTTATTTCTCTATAAATATATTATTTGACCTTAATGTCCGATGAACTTAAAAATGAAGAGAATTTATCATTTTCAAGAATATTATGTCAAAAAAACAATGTTATTTTAGATTATAAAATGGATATATTCTTTAATTTTTCAAAAATTTATTGATTGGAAGCATAATTTTAATTAGTAAGTTTTTAAAAGCATCAAATAATATGTCCGTTTCACCATCTAGAATTCAATTTCTTTTCATTTTTTTGACATAAAGTTCACGGAAGTCGTGAATTTTTCTTGATTTTTTTAAAGTCATTAGGTGGGCTTGCATTACCTTCGACAAATTATTGTCATGGGGAGTAGACGCCTAATGGTGGGAAGGGAGAGTTTTAAGTACTAAAGATATGTTCTAAAATATTGGGAGACTATTCCTACAGCAACAACACCTGGTTCTGCCAGCCCTGATTCTCACTAATTATCATTGAAACAAGAAGCTAACATAAAGTATATCAGCTTTCATTGGCAATGGTACTATATAGCAACGCCATCTAGAGACTGTGTTTCTTTTATTGATAATTTAATAAAATTAAATGCAACCTGTTTCAAAAAAAACTTTTAATATAAATTTTTTATTTCATTTCGATATTTTGTTTTGGATTCATTTATCACTAGTTGATAAGTTTCGAGTTATCATTGATTGTAATGTTGATTAATCATTTGACATGGCTTTGTTTCACTAAAAAGCATTGTTGTTTCTCATCAATATCTGTAAATAAAAGACAAATAAAGAGTGAGTTTCTCATTTTCTCAATCGAAATTTGATCAATCAGTGATAAATTCAGTGACCAAACATTTAATTCTCAATGAAGATTTATAGTCTGTTGATTTTTACTTTTGTTATTGAAAAATGTGCATTTTTCTTGTTTGAACAAATATGAAAGAATGAATTTAACTTGAGTTTCGTTTCTAATAGAACATAAAATAATTTTAAATATTGTTGATATCTTTTTTTTTATCTGCCTTAGAGAACGAAATATTGAAATTATTTACCATTTATAAAATGGACAATTATTGTCGCAAATGTAAAGAAGAACATCGAATTTGCACTTTTGATCGTCAAACACTAATTACATATCCTGTTCTTTGGAATATCAATGACAAAAATATTCCGATTTGCTATTGCAGTCATGTTGTAGAAGATCATTTCGATTATGGTAAGTACATTGTTTATATTTAAAATTTAAAAAGTTGAATTTTGTTTAACATTTTCAATATGTGAAAAAGATCATGAGGATGATCTGGTACATGTCTCTTATAAGGGTAATTTTAAAACAAAGAAAATATATGTTTTTAACTTCGCTTATAGACTGACATTTCTAATCTTTTGTTGAAAAAAGAATTGTTTTTTTTTCAATGAAGTTCTAAGGGTTTCCTTTATGATATATCATAAATAATTCATAAATTTTTTGACTATGAAACAAAAAAAATTAATATATCGAACAACATCGTTAATACGTTGATTTCAGTCACTATTAAAATGTAAATAGCTTTTTTTGTTTTACTAGACTTCATGTCGTACACTATTCAAATTTTGAATTAGAAGTAGAAGAACAAACGTTGCGGAACAGTTTTTCAAGGTCTTATTTTCTGAAGTTTCTAACAAACATTTTAATCAAAAAGTTCCCTTTTAATGAAATTATTTTTCATTAAAAAATCTCATTTTGCAGAAACTTATTGGGACAGAAAAATTCATAGAGAAGACCAACAATAATTAACTAATTGTGTAGAAAATTTATAAATAGAAGATCATGCCTGATTTTAACTTCAGATATAATTGTTATTATACTAAGAAAATAGTCTTAATATGAATTGATTTTCAAATCTTTTGTTTGCTGAACAAATTCAAATTTTTATAAAATTTTCTTTTTCTTTTTAAGATATATGGACTGTTATACGTGAAAAATTGACAAAAGCAACAGAAAGGCTCATGAAACAACATACGGACTAATTTATTTCTTATTCTTTTTTTTTAATCATTTGATGATAAACTTGATCATGTCGAACGAATGTTTTGTTATATTAATAGAGAGGAAATTATGCCTGTTAAAACATATGCTCTTATTATATACAGGTCATAACATCATTTTTGATTGTTATTGTCTTAAGGGTGTGGGTGTCCAACTGGGTATTAATATTTGGATGTGTGGCTTGTTTTTGATACTAGTCGATAGATCTCATCGAGCTCTATCTGGCACAGCTGTTCTTTTCGGTGGCACAAGTCTTGGGACGATTATGAGGTTGAAATACTGATTTTTTTAAAATAAAATCAATGTTTTAAAACTAATTTTTCGAACCTTTCAATCGGTTGGCACGATGAAAACTTTTTGAAAAGTATGTCTTCCATAGTATATTCGATGCTCTATCAGGCATAACTGATGTCTTTGTTGGCACAAATCTGTTTGCGAATATTTTCTCAAAAAAACTCAAATAGGCTACTAAGCTTACTTGCATCGAGATCGAACTGAAACTTCTTTTTTCTTCAATTTATGTTATGATGTCCCGTTCGCATACAAATAGGATCCAACAAAGATAAATTTTTGAGGACTTTAATATTTTTCAAGCTTCAACATAATTACAACGAAAATAAGACGCAATTGTCTTTGCACAAATATGAAACAGGTGTAAGTACAATTGATGAGAGATAATGAATCATATAGATAATTAAACAATCAATCGATAATTTTCTTTAGAAGAACATTGACGGGCTTTCATGAAGTTCTCGTAGCGATAAATTCTACAATAGTTACTTTCCATTTTATATTAGCTTGTGACTAGCTGATGAAGGAAACTACGAGTTGTTCCAGATATAACGATCCATAGAAACTTCAGCTCTCTGTGAAATAGAAACATCATTCAGTTTTGAGTCTCAAAATGGACTTTTTCGAACAGTTGATGATTTGACATAGTCGATATTCGTGTTTTGCACCTCATCTCGGATTCTCGACTTTGAGATGCCATCTAGTTCTGTTATTATTGCGTAATTCGATAATGTTATATTCAATTGTTGTATAAATCAACAGGTGTTTTTTTCTTTTCAATTTGATCATTGATAAATGTTTTGTTGTTTCATACTCATAAAGTATTCATACAAAAAGAAATGTCTTTTACAATAAAACAGTTGAAGAAAGAATTCAATTAGGAAATAGTTTTTTATATTTGAATGAAATTTCATTATGTACTATTATTACATTTATTAAGACATAGGAAGACATATAAATACAATTAATTTCATAAGATAAATTATTGTGTATTGTTAATCGCTTTTCAATAAGAACAACTAAATCAATAACGTTGAGTGAAATCAGTTGAGAAAATATTTAAAAAGAATTATAATATCAAGAATACTGATTTATGAAGTATTGTATAAAGTCATTTCAAGAGTTCTGTTTCACCACTATTAGATTTTATGATTTACTATTATCTGAATTAGGGTACGTCGATCTCGTTGTGACCTAATATAACCATATTTTAAAGTAGAATATACATGAAATAATTATCCCTAAGACATATTGTTATGCGAAGTTTTATATCAAAATTCCAAAGATAATTTTTGCTGCTATTCTTAAGCAGTACAACTACAATGAATGAAAACAAAATTGTGAAAGTTTTATATCTATATTTCAATATGCTTCATTTATTGTGCTGTTAGGAAACTTATAAGAAACTGCTTCTTTATAAATTTCTTCTTTCTTTCAAAATAAAAGAAAAATTAAAAATATCCAAAAAACCTATCATCATATGATCTCTCAAACATAGATAAAACTTATTGAATTTCTTGAAATTCTTTCGAGAATTTGAAAATGGACAACAGAAAATAGCGCAAATCAAGAAGCAGTAGAAAAATAACTGTCTGCTTAAGATCTTATTTCTGAAATAGAAAACAGTAATACTATTATGGAAAAGAAATGAATTAACAAATACAAAGTCAAATATCGAACTATCGTATCACCTATTCATCTCAATCATAGAAAAGTTCACATAAAACAGGTTTTATCTTAATCAAGACATCTTCGAAAGTACTTTCATGAATTAGTCCTTTCATAATCAGTCAAAAATACTAAGAATTCAATTGGAGATAATTTTTCTTTTATCCTACTCTAATAAATAAAAGATATCTCAAATTTCAGAAGACAACAATTTCTACCATATTCACTAATGTACACTAAGAAACCTTCTTTGTGATGAATTTCATTTTTTCAAAAGAATATATTTGACAGTTATTACGTGCCATTGAACACTTCTAATTTTTTTGAAAATATTTTAAAACATCGATCAATTGTCTTGTATTTCTATTCAATAACATCAACTATTCATGAACATCATACTTGATTTATTAACAAGAACAAAAACAAAATTAAAATATATACAATTATCACTAATAAAAAATATTAGATCACAATGGCAATGAAGTTAATCCTTGTCTCATATACAATACAACAAGTGTAATAATACGTAAAGTAAAAAGAATATATATATATATATTGTTAAAGATACAAAAAACACTTTTAAATTAAATTACCTATTGTTCCAAAAATACTGGCATATTGACTAGTATAATTTCGTTGTTCTGGAGTTTTATGAATAATTTTCAAAAACTCATTCTTTGAAACAAAAGAAGAAGATAAATATTTATTTTTCATTAGATAAACTTACCAAATAGTTTTGACTTTCAAGCCATGTATGAATATTTGTTACAATAAAATCTATTGTCCACTCAACAACAGCTGAAATAATTAAATCGATATTTTCTTGTTTTCGTTGTTTAATAATATGTTCAGCTATGACTGCTGAGAATGAAATAAATGTGATTATTTTAGACCATGTTATTTATCAATTATCAACTAATTTATTGACGATCATGTAATGCATGTTTTTGAATTCATTTAATGAAAATGATGAAATACAACGAAAATCAAGTATGAACTGTTAAGAAAACATTTGTTCACTTTCATAAACAATTCAACGAATAAGAATAAATAATTGATTAGTTGTTGATGATTTATTTTTTAATCGTCAAGTAAAATAATCATTGACAATCGAGTGGGTCATTGTTGCATCTTTATAGGAAGACATATTGTACATTTGTGTTTTTCGATTTGAAATGAACGAAAGTGATCCAAATCAATGATTTTTTTAGTTTCGATGGTAATAGCAATTTATTAATGAAGAAAGCGGACATTCACTATTCAAAAGAGAGAGAAAAAAAAATGACTCTATAAATCGCTTTTCTACTCTTTTTCTTATCATCTACTTATATCGCTTGATTAATTTTGTGTAAAACTTTAAAATATTGAATTATAGAAGAAGTTACAGTAGCAGCGATGTCAAAACATTTTGTTGAAGGAACATGTAGTTTTTCGTTGTTTGAATTTTCGCTATTATTGCAGAGTACCATAGAAAAAGTAATTGAAGTTCAATGTTTAACAATGTAGAAACTAATGTTTGTATAGATTTTCATCTTTCGATAAAGAGTATATCGCGTTCAAGCTTAACAAAGATTTGAAACAATCATTTTCGATTCGGTAGAAAATTCATTGAAAACTATTTTTAATTAAAACAAACATTTTTGTTTTTTCGATTTTACTTAAAATTCTTCCCATTCGAAACCTAAGAATATATAGTGTTCTTCTATCAAAGAAGAGTAGAAAATTATGAATATCTTTTTTATCGTTGATATGGTTCAAGCATATAGCGGGAGTGTAAAAATAAGATATATGTCATTATTTTGACTATTTCATAATTATCTACAATAAAGTATGTAGGATATCGTGCTCATTGTTGTTTTCGAGTAAACGAAGAATTAGATAAAGATATGAAAATTTTGGCGTATTATTTATAAAAAAAAGAACTCCAAAGATATAAAAGATTTAGAATGACAGGAAAATGTAGGTATATTGTAATTCACTCAGACACATTCCTGTGTTACATTTGTTTTATCAAATAATCTAATACTTATAGGTGTGGGTGTCTGTGTGGGAGAGGTTCGCGCGTGGGTCTATCAATATCTTCGATTACCCACACCCACATCGACACCCTTCATACTTATTCACCTCCATTTAGAGGCTTAACAATCGATAATAAAATTGAAAGAGAGACAAAAAAAATAAGGAATCAATCAGGTAATTATTTTGAGCGGTATTTTTCTCCACCAATATCAGATTATACGAATAAAATACACGACTTCTTCCTCATTATACATATATGAAAGTATTGCTTATTTACCAAATATGCCACATCATATGATATCTTATGCAAAAGTTTAAAAAATGGAAAATCTTTTCTCCAAAAAAATCACTAGATAGTCTGAAACATCAGCAAAGATCTACGAAAGAAGTTTTCGATTGAATATATGAACATTTTCACTGTTCTTTTTAAAAAATATGCATTGAGAGGAAATGTTTTTGAAGAGAGAAAATATGCGAAGGTTATCTGTCTTTCTAAAGGAGGGCTTTATCCAGAAGAAAATAAGCTTCATCCCATTTCTCTATTACTTATATATAGGAAAATGGTTTGAACGTTGCATACATGATCAAATCATAAACTGGTGTATTGCACAAAACATATTTGTAGATGAACAATCCAAATTCACCCCGCATCGTAGGTTAAAAAAAGAATATTAAACCATTGTGAGGATTTACATCTTACAGTAGCAGCATGTAATAGATCCGCATCAGTAATATTCATTGATTTTCTATCTGCTTTTGATAAGTTACGGTATCTTGCTCTTATTTCAAATCTTGTGGAATTAGAAATGCCACTACCTCTTGTCCGCTGGATATACCAATGGATACAAGAAAGAACAAAGGCAATTCATCATAGAGAATCAATATCTAGAACGATTCAGATTTTTTCCGGCGCTTCGCAGGGTTCTATTCTATCAGCAACACTTTTCGATTACCCCTGCATTTTTTTACCAAAAACATTTGTACGTTTTTGCTCCCATTTATTTGCTGATGACTTTGCAATAATAATTGAAGGATCATTAGAAATAAGATTCACACAAAATATTGAAGATTTTGAGTAACGAGCGAATATACCTATGAAACTACTACAAAATTTTTCGAAGAATTAAATACTTCCAGGAAATATAAAGAAAACAAAAATGGTGCTCATTCATAGTGTCGTATCATCAAGTTATCCAAAAGCTTTCTTTAAGAATGAAACAATTGAAATAGTTTCTTCATTTTAATATTTACGTGTAGAAATACGTACAAAAATGGGATGGAGCTCTTTTATTAAAACCAGATTAGATGAAATTAGAAATATATACAGTGCTTTAAGGAAAATGTTCAGAGTAATTCCTTTAGATCAATATGACATTAGAAGAAAACTATTTGTGCATTTGCCTCATCCCACTTTTTATGGTTATTTGTTACATGGTTCTATTTTACAGAAGATCAATGTCAAGATATTGAACATGTATATTATACAGGTCTTCGTTTAATACATGATCTTTGGGAGGGAAACGACTAAACTCCATTAGTTCCGGCAAAAGATATGTCTCTTCTCGACTATTTGTATGACTATTGGGAGAAATTTATGAAACATCTTAGTATATCTCCGGAAGCAAGTGGGTATAGAGAAACATGGGATGCATATCTTATATCCACATCACCCCATCGAAGCGTCTATAAATCCATGGATTTAAGAAAAAGCTGTTAGCGCAATCCCTTACGAGATTAAAAATGTGAAACACGATGGACTTATCATCACTAAATAAAAGGATCTCGTTTCTTTCATTTCTGTACGATAGATTTGTAGCTTATCATTTATCTGCTGCCTCAAAACTCTAGTTTCTCTGTCACGGTCTGCAGGGGGGGGGGGGTGCAAATTTCTGCCCCTAAACACTTCAACACTCCTTTCAGATCGTGTTTCACAAAAGTAATTTTTTTATAAATCGTTACATACAAAGGTTACATCATACAAATGTGAATGTTTTTTCATTTTTCTGTGTGCATTAGAGACAAAAATTTATTTTTAAATCTCATTCACTAATATTGAAAGATTTATTCATAAATATATTTTTTCACCTTAAGACTCTATGTCCATTCTGAGAATTTGTGAAATATGAAGTTTTTTGTGCCAAACACACAATCCATTATATTCCATTGGTAAATGCTTTCTTTTTTCTATTTTTTTCTCTTTTGTTTCATCTATCATCTTATGTAATCAACCATCTTTTTCTTTTTTTATAGTATATCGTTACATCCTAGGAGGAGAGACACATCACATAAAAACGAATCAAAAAGTATTTCCTACATTTCATGTAATGATTTTTACTTTCTTTCTCTTTTTTTTGTTGTATTTGATAATTGATAACCCTAACAGAATCAATAAAACTATTATGCTAAAAAAAGGGTCTGATCCGGATGAAATTGTCTATACAGTTTAGTCTCAACAATATCTAGTGTGAGTTCGAAGATGAGAATGATATTCCCAGCCACTGCTGAGTTATTGCAAAAATAATCATTATTCCCTATGCTTTCGTATGCAAAGTTCGATCTATCCCCGTTTTCATGAAAGACTTTTCCTATCATAGTCAAATAAAAATTCCAATAATTATATACCATTCTATAGAGAATTTCAAGAGCTACAAAATAGTGTATAAAACATTAAGAAAAAAGAATGCTAAGTCACCTATTGCGAAGATAATTAGACGGAAATCGGTTCTGTTTTTGCCCACGCTCTAATTAATTCACAAATAAAGCTCTATTTGCCGATCACAGAGATGATACGTCGAGATTTTCTGGAGTGGAGAACTCGAATCTAAGCTCCACTTACCTCGAAGTCTTATTTGTTGAGCAGTAACCAATACAAATCAAGCTATAGAAAAAACGAGTTTCTTGGGGTAATTCACGGCGCAGAGTTGAAATTTGAGCTATGTTCTTCTCCTAATACTACTGGTCGAGCACTAATAAATAGAAAGCAAGTGTTTATAGAAAAGACTTGCCAGGACAATTTTGATGTTCCTACATTCTTGGATAACTCATCTGTCTCATTCACTTTTTGAAGTACATATAACTCTCGGATTTAAATCCGGGATTTCCACATTTATTTAAAACTCATGTAACTTTTCGATTTTTCAACATTTTTAATTTTTTTCTCAAGCTATTAGAAAAAATGCTTTTCTATCGATCTGTGAACTTAATTTTTGAAAATCTTGTCCTGTAACATTGTAGTGATGTTCTTGTGAGAGCCTACCAACACGACAATGCATTTACCCCAATAAAAAAGTTTACATGAGTTTTAAGAAACCATCGATTTTTATTACGCATTTACTTTACCTGACTCTATTTTGCTTTATGTAATATAATTTACTTGTTTTTTTTGTAATGAATTTGCTAACCACTTCATAGCTTCGTTGAATCCAATACCTTCAATAGCTGATGTTTTAAATATTTGATATTTACGATTTTTTAATGATGTTAAATCAAGCGCATTTTCTACTTCACTAATACTCATACAACCATTTAGATCTTGTTTATTAGCAAATACACATAAAACAGCATTTTTAAGGTCATCTTCTTGAAGCATTGAGACAAGTTCATGTTTTGATATATGAATACGATCACGGTCCATTGAATCAACAACATATATGATTGCATTTGTATTTGAATAATAATGACGCCAAAGAGGACGAAGAGGGGTTCCGCCACCTTGAGAAAAAGGAAAAGATGAATGTTTTGAAAAAAGCATGCAGAATTATTATTAAATATATTTACCAACATCCCAAAGCACAAATTCTAAATTTTTATACCGTATAGTTTCAACATCGAAACCAATTGTTGGAGTGGTTATTACAACTTTACCAGATTGAAGACGATTGAGTATTGTTGTCTTGCCTGCATTATCAAGGCCCAAAATAAGCATGCGTCGTTCTTTACTAGCACAACGGCCAGAGAAAATACTTAATAGACCACCCCTTTTTCAAATGATTATTTAATCTTTTCCTTGAGATTTATTATTGATCGTACCAGTATTTGTTATCCAATACGAAATCGATTAAATTATACCTATTAAGATCTATAAGATAATATCTAAAATTCGTATGTGTATATTTAAGTGTCATAAAGAAAGAAGAAAAGCAAGGAAAAAATATTTCAATAGTTCAAATATAATTTATTGCAAAATTTTTACAAGGGGAGAACGACTTTGTCACTTTTTTGACTTTAATGGGGGTGAGTGTGAATGTGGATGTGGATATATACTTATCAACACACCCACACTCACCCATACCCTTTTTTTCCTATATTCTGATGTATTCTTCATCACAGTATAATATGTATGGTTTTTTTATTTTTATTTTTTTTTCGACGTCACAGTGACGAAACTCGTCTTTGACAACGAAGTTGAGGTCATGCCATGCACTTCATTACTTAATACAGCAATATTATATATATATATATATAGGAAGTAGATGTTTAAGATTGAAAGTAATAGTTATAACAAGTCAGGAATAACTACAATCTCCAAAAAAAGTTACTCCCTGGAAAACTGAAACTCGCCCGCAAACCATCAGCTATGTATAAAGAAAATGATAATAAAGAAATATCCAATCAAGAACAATGGATCTAAAAAATATTTATAGAAAAGAAAATGTAAGATTTAGTCTTGCAGAATCTTTCGAGCAAAGCATTCCATCAAGTAAAAACATCTGTCCGAACTAGTCGATGAAAACAACGATGAAATAAAAGAAAACATAGTACCAGCTCGAGCCAAAAAGAACACTTGTGTTTTATTTTAGATCTTCTGAATGAATTTCATTAAAATGGTAACTTGTATTTGAGAATCATTATCTAATATAAGTTTTTCGCTTTTCTTTGGATTCTTTAAACGTATCTGATTAAAATGATTAGTTATACCTTAGAATTGAAAACTGATATTAACTTTTCTTTTGCTGTAGACATTTATAGTCTATTTCATTTAAAAGGTAAGTTAGACTTTCAAATCGAAGACTGACATTAACTTTTGTTTTGTTTTAGATTTTTCGAAATGATTTCATCGAAATTGTCAGTTACATTTAAGAATTACAAATTAATATTTACTTTTCTTTTGTTCTAGAATTTTCATGTAGACTTCATGCAAGTAGTAAGTGATGTTTATGATCAAAAAGCTAATATAAGCTATCGCTTTGTTTTAGATTCTTCAAATGAAGTTCTACTTATAAGCTATGTTTCAGCGATCGAAAAATTCGATATGTCTCCTGTTGTCTTGGAAACAGACTTTTTTTTAGAAAGTAAAGACCTTGTAGCCGCATATTTTGCTTAATTTATTCCGATAGAACAAGAATTAAACGATTATTATTCCTTCTTTTGTCATCATCATCTTATTTTTCAAATTTTATCAAAGAAATATCTATAGACTAACTTGTACTAAAAGCAAAGATGATATTCACATAATAGTTAGTTCAGTCACTCGTGTTTTTTGTTTTTTCGAACAATGTAAGCTTTCAAATACCTGACAAAGATCGGTAACGGTCGCAAAATATCGATGAAGTGGACTAGTGTGTTTTTAAAAAATTTTGCTTGACGATCACATTTCACAATACATAGAAATTTTTCTACAATAGTTTATCGTGTTTTGTATCAGTATATTTTTTGAAAAGATATTTCATTTTCGAAAACTTCAATATGGAAAACAACATAAACATCATAACTAAATTCATTTTGTTAAACTTCTGCCACTGATATGCTTTGATCTATTCCTTATATATATGCATTAGTATTGATCTGTTGTCTCTTCTTAGATATTAAATTCATATTGGTACGATTATTTAATTAATCATGCTTTGTAACTCAGTTTTCTTGATGTTCGATTATTGAATAGTATATAAATGAACATCCAAGTTGTTCTTCAATGGTAAAACTCTTTTTGTATGCTCTTGCATCGAATAAAATTTGCTAAATAGAGTTACATATTCTTTTTGAAACTGATATAAATTTATTCTTCAAAATTTAACTTCTCTGTATAAACTTTCAGAAACTTACAATTCTAGAAAATTTAATATAGTTCATCGATGTTAGTATTTGATCTGATAGATGTTTGAATAATTCCTTTTCGAAATTTCATTTTTATGATTCTTGTACAAGTATTTTTAGAATGTTTAACAAAAAAAATCAATCAAAATCTTCTAACAATCCTCAAAATTATAATTCTTCATCGATCTTCTCGTAAACTGACACAAGATATTATTAACTTATATATAGAGATTAACTATTAGATATGTTTATATTCAATATATTCGATTAAAAAGCAAATTGAGTATTACAAATATATCAATTTTATAATTAATTAGTATGGCTAATACATGATTGAATTCATAATTTATTGTCGACTCCAAAAATAATTTATTTTCAGGAATTCGAAAAGATATTGCGGATATTTTTTTAGTTTATATGAGTTACAATGGAAATTTTCTTTCTAAGTATTCTTTTAATATTTTGTCCTGATAAATGATTAAAAGTAATGATGGAAATTCACCAGTTAAAAGATGTATAATTCAAAATACAAATCGAAAGTAAAATGTTTAGAATAAATAATTAATAGCATAAATTGTGTCATGAAATAATATTTTAAAAAAATCAAATGAAAACACAGTCTAGTTATTATTCGAAATGAAAATATTTGATGATCTACCTTATAATACCAAATAATTTTAATTTACATGAAGTTATAACGTAGCAAGATGAAAAACAATCTGAAAAAGAAAATAGGAATGATTGTTTAATAATTATGGGTTTTATTATATAAGTGCAGTGTTACTGTTGATGAAGAGACCAGTAACATTTCCACAATCACACATGATAGTAGAAATTGTAATGATGTTTACTAAACAGTTGTAATCGAGATAAAAATTTCAAAAATTAATCTTAATCTAATTTTCAGTTTGAATAAATGCTCCATATGCACAAGAAAGAGTACGAATCTTCGATAGATTCAATTTCATCTATATATGAAATTCTTACTCACAATTTGATGAAATCTTTGTTTTGTTGCTTCGAGCAAAAGACACGTTGAAATCAATGACGCTTTTGCTTAAACAAAATGTAAAGCAAGGTAAAAAGCAATTCTACGTCTTTTATTACTTACGCAGTAAACTGAAGTAGAAAAAAATTGCTTGTTTGTTTCGAATGCAACTAATGATGAAAAAGTCATGGCTCGGATATAGAATCTACGAAAATTTATTCGATGAAATGGAGAACATTAAACAAGAATGTCGCTGCAAAGGAACAACTATAAGAAAAGTAGAACTTATGATATGATCTAAACAATATGGTTAATAACAAAGAATTTTCTGTTCTTCTATGAATTATCATCTTTCTTCTCGATGTCGATCATGTTTATCTGATAGGATCGGTCAATTCGAATGCGGTTTGTTTTTAGGGCGTGAGTTTGATCGTGCATATAGACAGTGGTCTGCCTGTTTGGATGATTCTAACCAGTTTTTTCTTTTTTATATTGTTTTTATCGAAGTATCAAAGTTTGTTTTCTTTCTTGTATTTCAGAGTTAAGGATTATTTACTATGAGCAAACAGTAATCGATCTCCACTCTACAAAAGAAAAAAAGAATTTCAATCTACGTCGTGTATTTTTGAAAAACCAACGAAAATAAAAGTGTAGTGCAACACTTTTGACTGTGTCTCTATCATGAAAAATAGACTAGATTTTCTACAAAATTTATTCAAACGAAGAATAATTTCAAAACAATCTTTGACTCGTGAAGAGTGTGGGTGTAGTGTTACAAATTGCAACATTTACAAGTACACTCCACGTTAAAAAATTCTAATATATCCAATTTAGATAAGTTTTCATATTTATGAAAGAGTTCCATTTTTTACTTAGCTTGGAACAAAACAAACCAATCTAAGTTTATCGCAATATAATTAAATTGATGAAGTGGGTGTGGGTGTTGCTGCGGGTGTGGATGTAGGTGTATGGGTGTGGGTATTGATATTGAACTCTCCTCTCCTCCCATCCACACCCATACCCACACGCACACTCACATCCACTACCACACCCCACACCCACACCCACACCCTTCAAAGAAGAATGAATCGTAATTACTTGTCCGCCATGGTGCACTATGTTTTTTGACAGTGTATATCCACAAATATGTCTTATTACGTATGAAAAGCCTACTGAGAAAGATCATTAACTCGAAATAGAACTTGAACCCATATCTCCCGATGTTCGGTCGGTTGTTTTCCAACTTTAACTATTCAAATTTCACTCCTGCCATTCACCTGCTTGCATATTCATAGTCAGCTAAATTTTGATATTTATATGATATTGTGCTATATTTTACTGATCCTTTTCTGGACGGTGGATGTGCGTGTTTTTCCACACATTACATTCAGAGCATTATACAACACTATTCGATTGTAGTTTAACCCAATCAGGGATGGGCGTGAGTGTGGATCTTCATCTTCTCTTTGCCTCACCCACACTCACCCCATGTAAACACGAAACGCAAAATTGATGCGTTGAAACGCGGTTTGATAAAAAAACGCGTTGAGACGCAGTCAAAATTGTTTCCACAACGCATGCAAACGCGATTTGATATGAAACGCATTGACACGCGGTTAAAAAAATTTTGAAACGCGTCTAAACGCAGTTTTTCCATACAACGCGTCTAGCTGCAATTCGAAAAAAAATGAATCGCGTCTGAACGCGTGTCTGAAAAACGTGCGACGCGTTTGAACACATTTTATCTACTAACTGCGTTCAAACGCGTCTCAAATATTTTTTCAGTCGCGTTCCGATTCGATCATATTTTTGTGCGCGTTTGTACGCGTTCCAGACGCGATTTTATTTCGAAAATTGTTGCTCTAGAAGAGTTAATCGCGTGATTGAAACCGTCACTTTACATA